ATTGTGTATAAAATGGGACATTTCTGTTAGTTTTCACAGAAAAAAATTGCTAAAACATTTAAATTAGCCCTAATAAGGAATAACTTGACCTGTATTAAGAAACAAAAATGACACTTGCCACAAGAAAAAGATTCGTAAGACACAAGACAGGTAGTGCACCCTATTTTCACACCAGCTCGCCATCAAATCATGAATTTTTACCGCGGATAATAGGGTCTAGTGAATTCTTTACATCTTATGTATAACAAGACTACACTTTATTTATAACTGGGGCTTCCAAAACAAAACATAGAAGGTTTGTTGAATTTTTGTTTTGTTTTGTTCGATAACAGCCAATATAATAGAGCATATTTGAAAATTGCCTTCTAAGACACTTAAAGCCAATTTGGTGTTTCTCCTAGCTCCTTAAAGGAACTGTCTACTGCTCGGAAAAATGTTTCTAATTGTGGCGCAAATGACAAAATCATTCATCACATCAGCGGCAGTGAGCATGTTTTTGTCTCACAAAAAAAAAGAATTATAGTTTTAACTTGATGTTGAAAGTCAGCAAAAAATGACCGCTAGCATCACCCAACAGCGATGTGGTCAATCTACTGGTAGGACAAGAAATCCCGGCAGGTTGATTGATTGATTGATATGTGGGCTTTAACGTCCCAAAACCACCATATGATTATGAGAGACGCCGTAGTGGAGGGCTCCAAAAATTTCGACCTACTGAGGTTCTTTAACGTGTACCAAAATCTGAGCACACAGGCCTACAACATTTCCGCCTCCATAGGAAATGCAGCCGTCGCAGCAGGGATTCGATCCCGCGACCTGCGGGTCAGCAGCCGAGTACCTTAGCCACTAGACCACCGCGGTGGGGCAATCCCGGCAGGTTGGTTCTTTTTGCTTAAAAACAAGCATGTATAACTGCATTTTACCTACTTGAATGACCTTCAGGTTGCGCCAGAGACTAAATTTTGGTTTTTTTTTCTCACGCATTCAAAGAGGTGCCCGATGGCGCTGCCGGTGGTCAGTTCGCTTGCCTGCATGTTGCCTGCGAACGGCGGAGAAACACGAGCATGGCGTCTGCTGCCGCTCATGAGAACCACAAAAACGACATGCATAAGAAAAATCAAAAAGTGTGTGCGTGCCTTAACGACCACTAAGGTTTTTTTTTTATTAATGAGCAAACCTTTATGAAGCCCACAAGAACTGCAAACGGTTCCAGTTTTCCCCTTCCACTGGCAGTACAATTGACATCGCCTCCATCGACCATTGTTGTGGGCATTCACCCACCAATGTAAGGAGACCGCACGCTAATAGAAAAATTCTGTTTTAAAAATTTATATGTAAACCGCTGCACGATTAGACACTTTAGATACTACGCTTTTTATTGCAACACAAAACAGAAAAGCAGTGAAGGATGGCAGACAGTCCCTTTAACAGTTGTGTTACTGAAAGTTGGTTACAACCTAAGAAATACTACATAAACTCTGTCCACAGCCATTGCAATCCCATGCAAAAATAATTTGTCTAATAACCTTTGCTCATGTTTCTGATGTCAAGCACTCCTGCACATTTAACAGGCAAATTTTACAATACAGATACGTTTATGGTGCTGGTTTTAGATAGAAAACTTTATGACATATTTGTCAAAGATAGTAACATCAGTGCACAGCCAAAACTAACATTTTAGCCAGAAAATACAAGCTTTTACTTTCTGTAAAGTTTGTTACTTTTTTACTGTTACATTTATTTTCTGTCAGTTGTTAGTTTGCATCAGTTTCCATCTATTCATTTCGGTTACCGCATCTTATTGTGCTATACTGACTGTGGTTTTTATGTTTGGCTTTCTAATAATCAAACTAGCCAAGAGCAAGTATATGTGCTTCAAAAAAAAAAAAAAAAACTAACTGGCATGAGTCACATATCAAGGTAAAAGACAGGAGAGCTGCAATTGGTAGGCAGAGCATATAGTTATTTCTAGGCTGTAACCAAAAAGAGTAATGAATGCACAATAACTGCATGAAAACGTCTCATACAGTTCAGTGCTTGGGTAGAAGACAGCCAGCACAGTACCAGAGCAAGTATGCTATAAGTATTAATTCAAATGCAAATAAGTCTGAAGCAACTTCAATGCGCTATATTTCCAGGCTTGCCTACACTAGTAACAGTGCTGTCACACTACTTCACGCCTTGAAATGAGGTAGGAAGTTATTACACATTACACTTCCTTGTAACATTACAAGAAAGTATAATGTATAATATATGAAAGCTCATTCACTGATATTACAATAGCTGGCATGCTTTGAGTTTTGTTGGAAAGTGTTTTAAAAAAAAATGGGGGACCCTTAAGCCTTGCCTTTCAGAGTTGAAAGTGACAGTGATATCCTGTCCAGAGTGGGTACTTCAGACACATGGTGCAAGAAATCTATTCAAACTTGCTATGCATCCACTACGTGGCTTTAAAGGGGCTAACGTGGTTGCTTGGGCGAGTTGGTAAGACATGATTCACATAAAAAACAGCGCCAATAACGAGGGACAAGAAAAGAAGGAGACAGACAGCGGCACTGTGTTAAAGGGGCCCTGTGACACTTTTGGGACAGCCCTTCTACGTCGCTTTAAAGGGGACCTGCAACACTTTTGCGACAGCTTTATTTAGCACCAGAACATGTGTCGCGATGATTACTGATATGAGTGCAACAAGAATGACTGGAATTGGTGCAAGGAAAGTGAAATTGAGTCCTCAAAATTCAAAACTCGAGCAGATGACGAGAAACGTTTCCTTTCGCATTTCACTCGCCTGCTGATGTCAAAGACCGCTTACAAACACAGCGCGTGTTTCAAAGACATGTCGGAAATGTCACCTTATGGTGGCCATCATACATTACCTTGCTACCGCTCTTTTTGACAGCATCGTTACCATGGTTATTACAAACCAAGCTCCCATGGTCACACAGTGCAAGACACACATACACGCTTTAGGCGGGGGTCACTTCTTGGCTTGCTTACAAGATGCGTTCTATGGCAACGCCTGTGCCCACCGCCTGCCGCATTTTTGGCTCGCTAAAAACGCGGCAAGCGTTTCTACCTTTAGTTGCTGGCGTATCATAGCCTCATTCGCACGCTACGTGTTGTGTTCGTTGCTCTGAAATACATCATTTAGAAACAGGAATGATTTCTTTCTGAGAAAGTGTAAAAAGGGTTTTTGCTGTTTTTAGCATTCACTCGAACATAACTACCACCATAGTAATATTGCATGCCATTTGTCACGTCAAGCCAATAAAAAGCTAAGGTTCTTTGTTGTCACATCACATGACATGACATCGCTTCCCATAACAGAACTAGCCAATGTGTGTCGCCGTAATCTGGAATCAAGGTAGTTTGTCCCGTGAATTAAAATGATAACAGCGTCGATTTTAGCATTGCCATTTGCACAACGATATCTGCGAGTTCCACGGCAACAGAAGAAGTGATAAAAAATACATGCTCAAATAGTGTCGCAGGGCCCTTTTAAGGGAATACCTGCTTTAAACCATGAAGTCATAGTGATATTCACACGTTCCGACACCTGATGGCAATGTAAGCTTGTACCAAGCATTATTACTGTAATATTTCATGTTGTGTTATATGAAGCATGCACACAGGGCACGTGTTTGTAAAGAATGGAAGTTACTTTCACTGCATTTCCAAGCAGAGGAAGTTCTTTTCACTGTTTTCACAAGCAGAGGCGCGGCTGTGTGATGCAACATCTGTTTGCCATGCAAGCTAACCCAGGTTCGATACCCACTCAGACCCAGAATTTTTATTATTTATTTTATTTGCATCTATCTTGATTATTTTGGTCACGCACAAAATTATCATTTTTTGCTCACAACTAATGGTGCCGATGCCGACACTGACGCTGGAATTTCTGCAAAACAAGCTCTTTAACACTGTCACGTTAAAAGCTTGTTGATGTAGCATGTGTGCACAGGCTACAGTGTCCAGTACCACAAAACCACCACAACAGGTTTCAGTGACGCAAGACTCCATGGTACCATATTGAATGCAATTAAATTTAACACATTTGTTGCAATCCCAGGGAGTTGAGGCAGCATAATGTAATTACAGGCTCAAGCAATTCCAACAGAGATTTAAAAATCAGACAAATTTTCTGGCAGTGCTCTATTAAGAATGTATTGCATATGCATTTGTGCACACAGTGAAATTTTCCTTCTACGCTATCATGGCAACTATAAATATTGCAGTTGACTCAGTGGACATTACTCGAGGCAGAAGTGCTGTTCTTATGACACACATGCCGGCACGGAAGCTTTATGGTCACAAGTGTCATTTTGCAAGCATAAATGATGTCTATGTGCTTGTCATACACCCTTTTCATAATTCGCAAGTGCGCTTCTCGGCACTGCATCTTTGCCTTACTAATGGCGGCATCTGTCCCACTTCAAATGGAGACCAGGTCCTCGTTAAACACGCTGGGGCTCATCTATTACGTTCATTAATGTCGAGATATCTAAACCTACATTTTCCATGTCTTAGTGCAAGTAAACTGCGCTTGAACACTCCATTTGCAGAAAGTGACTAGCTGCCATTAGTAGGGCAAACTGCATAGCAGGAAAGCCAGCTTTACAATTATGAAAAGGGTCTATTATAGATCTTGATTTAGCAGTTGTGCAAAGCTTTGGCACAGGTGATGCAGTAGAGGTGTGAATGATTTCAGCATATGTATTGGTCAGACTTAGGCACAGAGTGATAAACATGGGAGAAACTGATGGTTAAAAGTATTTTCTTCCCAATTGATGCCAGTGGTAAATTTAATGTGGAGCCATTGCTTTCCAGTATGAATAGGGTAAACTTGTGTAGAACATAAACACACAATAATAATGCTAGGTTTGTACTACTGATACAAAACACTGTTCAGCATTTATGGGTTGCTGCCAAGAATATAGTTTTGAAACCTTACTTTCACAGCAAGATTGATCATAGCCTGATATTTTTCACACATAACACAGTTTTGCTGTTTAACTTTTTTTTTTATTTTGAACATACACTTAATATTTTTATCCTTTGATCGAACATTCACAATTGCCATAATCACATGGCACTTGTGTGGTCATTGCAAGTAGTTCTCTCTTTTCTTTTTTTTTTTTTAAAGAACACCTTGTTTGCACTCTCCTGTGGGATAAAAGGCAGAAAGTTTAATATTAGAAAAGAGTCACAATAAGTTCTGCCTAATCCCACAATGAATAATTTTCCTTAATAGGTAAAAGTTGTGGACAACAAAAAGATGACACTATAAAAGTATGAAATTGACAATACGTCGATTCCTAAAGCCGCCTTTAAAACACACACCCAAATGTTAAGTGGAGAGAGAACACCTTTTGGAATACTATGTGGGATTTTCAGAGACTCAAAAAGCACTGTTCCCTGAAGGAGCTTATGCAGTAATAACCTGAGGCACAGATAATAACTATCTGTCCATTTCCAAGGCCAGCATAGCACCAATGCCACCAAAAGATGGCTGGCAGCTGGATCATAGGTGTTGTGCGTCAAGCTGGTGAAGATCACATTGAAAGAGGTTCTCCTAACCAGTGTGCCAAGCCGCTTGGTGACAGCATAGTGTAGGGAGCAGAGTGGATACCATCTGGCAGCAGTCAAACCAGGCCAGCTTTTGACAAAGGGCTGCCTATATCACAGGAATGTGCCACACCATGGCAGCATGGAATGTGTGGCTAGCTACAAGCCTTCATCAGCTCCAGCAGGCAGCCAACAGCACCAAAATAGCCCTGCAATGTAAGATTTGTCAGTGTTTAGGGTCCTGCAGTACAGGTGCAATGTCTTACCTCATGCTCCAAGAAAAGGGCTTTAAGTGTGCCTTTGGACCAGAACTGCATGGCATATGCCAGCATGCGCATTGAAATGGGATTGACCCGCAGGAAGTTGCCCACAAAGACGACACGAGAGATGCCTTCGTTGATGGCACACATGCGAGCAATGGAGCCGATGTTGTTGGTGATGGTAACCAGTGTTGCCCGGGCAAGGTCTTCCCGCGAGGCAGCATCTCGTCGAGCCTTGCAGTTCATGTTCCCAAAACTGCTAGCCACAGTGTCGGCACGTAGGTCAAACTTGGGGTAGTCGCCACCATAGATATCGCGCACAAGCTTGTCAACATGAGTGCTGTCCCCTTTCTGGGCAAGTTCAATAGCCTCCTCAAAAGTTTCACAACCAGTCAGCAGACAGCAGAGCCCAAGAAAAGTGCCACCGCCGAGACTAGTGCCAGTTACGCGGTGATACTCGGTAGGCGATCTCACTGCTAGCATGCTCACCCCTGAGCCAATGTTTACAACAAGGTAAGGGTATGGATTGCTGAAGTCATACGGCATTTTGACACATCGCTCCATAGGACTGCTGTAGTAATAGCACTCTCGACTGTTGTGGGCTTCCATGTAGTGTATACCACGAATCAGGGAGTCCATTTCATCAAATTTATGCAGACCAAGGCCCACCTGAGTGCGGAAATCATTTTCAAACTTGTGAGCTCCACCACCTGTAGCACACACTGTAGAGGCTAAACTGGCAATTCCCTTCGCCTTGGCTAGCTCCAAGAAACGAGGCATCTCACTTGTAGGGAAACGAATGAAGTGCAGCGTACCCTCGATGCCACCGACCTCAACACCATCCATCTGTAAATGAACATCTCGCTTGCCTGACTGCCCATACGCAGCATTCTTCTTCAAGTAGTGCTTGATACGTTCCAGAGCCTCTGTAGTTGCTGGTCCATCTTCGATCGCGGGCTCAAAATAAACCAGCTTTACTAATGTTCCTCCAATGTCCATGCCAAACCAGGGCATTGCTGTATAAAAAGCAAATGCATAACTCATTTGTCACACACGCATGCATTTGTCACACACACAAGATAGAACGTGCGACTCACGCGGCTGTGGTGACGGCACCCGGGCGGTAGCCGTCGTGTCCCCGTTTATGCTGGCCATGGCCGCTCTCCTGCCATCCGAATCGAGCCCAGTCCTCGGTGTGGCTGTTGGCCAGTCTCTGCAACACAAATCCTCATTCATGTCCATCGACAGGTACAAAAAAGCCCCCTTGCGCGCGCTCGTCGTCGTTGTCGTCAAGACTGCTCGCTCGCGAATAACGTGCAAGCCTGCTGGCAGCGAAAGTGAAGCTTACGACAAACTCATGACGTCCCGGAAAAAAAAAGGTCCACGCGCGGCTTCCTCGGGCAGCCCGACGCAAACTGGTAATCGTGCGATCTTTCGCGACTTCTCGGATGAGAAGAGTTTCCCCTTCAAGCTGTAAAAAAAAAGCAAGTAAAGAAAACGTAGCAGATGGAAGATTATACGCAAGCCACGTGGGACTGCACTCAAGGCTGCTTCGAGTGACGTAACTAATATTTTCAAGGTTTTTCCTCGTGCCAGTGCAGGGGTCGAATGGCCACTAGCCCCAATACTTCCTCACGGGGTAACCTCCTTGTACGTACATACGAGGCCACCATTCCCCACAACACTGCGCTCGCAATGAGGGGGCGATCGCAACACAAACATGCTACGTCGCACGAAGTGCGTGAAGACAATCTGTACTGAAATCGGATAAAATAGCGTCAGTTGCGGTTCTCGATCGGGACAGGAAAACCAATCAATTGGTAGCAGTTTCCTCTGAAACGTTACATATGCATTCTCGCCGATTAATTCGGCTCAGAAGCCGACAAGAGTGTTTCGAGACATCGTAGCAACATCATGTGACGCATCGAAGGCTTCAAGATACATGAAGTGACATCGACTGACGCTCAAGCAAGGTCTAGCTGAGTTTCACGATGAATTCGAGGAAAAAAGAAGTGTTTTAACAGAGACTCCTTACCAGACGACAAAAGTTAGGCCACCATCTTCGAGACACTACACACCAAGGAGGATTTAAAAAAAAAATGCTGGAGTGGAAATCATCCATAGAAGTGAAGCTGTGCCTCTGGCAAAATGGCGGCTGCCGCGGCCATCTTACTAGGGGCTTGTAAAAATATCACCACAGAACATTTTTACACTACCACCGTTCAGCGATTAAGAACAGAGCGTTTTTCACGCACGCCCAACGAGTGTAATGCGGAAACTTTTTCGGGTCACATAGCGCGTCGCAGTGGTACTAGTTTTCCTTAGAGAGCCTCTAGTTGGAGGAAACGTTCTTGGAAAATTCAGTCACTTATACTCGTTTTTGTGTGTTATTTCGTCGGGAACAACTATCTTTTAGTATGGAACTAACGTAGAATTTACGCTAATATATTAAAGTCACTTTATCTCTAAGTGGGCACTGCCAGTGTTCTAACATTTTCCCGACACTAACATTAACATGTTACGACATTAACATGTTCCCGACACCTTGGCAGTGGCAAAAGCTGGCTTCACTTCTGCTGGCAAGGCATTCACTTCTGCTGGCAGCTTCCACTCCAGCAATTTTTTTTTCCTCCTTGCTACACACGCACTACGTAAAGAAAATATAATATGTTGAGATAGCTAAAATAAGTCATGGTCATAGTTTTAGTAATTTTATTTTTATCAAAACTTATTATAAGAGAGTCAACAACCAATTTAACTTCAACTAAAATTTATTGCAACTTGTAAAAAACCACGGAGTTCCTCCGTGTAAAAAACGCTTGTTTACAGTGTTGCTTCGCAAAAATAAAACGTTCTGAGTTTGGCGAAACCATGCTTTGTGTCAATCCCCCCCCCCCCCGCTTTAATTTTTTTTAAACATTCCACACGCATATATTGTTGCCACAAGTAGCAATACACTATAGCCATAAATAATCTACAATCTACAAAAGACTTCCTCGAAGATTTTGCCTGTACGTAGCTCCGATGACTCAGATCATGGAGGAAGCAATAAACTGGTAATGGTAGGGGTCAGAAGAAGGCACCTGATTTCTGCAGCCCAGGTGTGCTATTCTGGGCACCACGGACTGGACACAGTCTAATTCCGCCATATTGTCAAATTTCGCAAGGCGGCATTTTAAGCCAATCAGAGAGGTCGTAGCAGCTCACTTGGCCAGTTATCATCGATTAATGGCGGAATTTGGCCACATGGCGGAATTTGAAAATGTCCAGAATAGCACCCGGTAGGGAGCACGGCGCAGCGCCTACAGGAATAAACTGAGGAGAGGCCGTTACGTCACATTTTGTGAAGGCGGGAGTAGGGAAGAGTAGGGGACTCCTCGCAATGTTGGGCATGCTACGATGGCTCGCGCATGCGCAACGGGTGCCATCGAGAAGGAGGCGAGCCGTGTTAGGGCTAGGCCACTCTAGCGCACGGTGCTCTAGCCACGCTAGTCGATTTCTGACGCGTCGCGTGGCACCGGTGGCGCTTTTTGCGCACTCTTGCGGTGGCATACGTTCATCTCGGCACCACGCGTGCGGTGTCATATGTTCGGCTAGGCCGGCCACGACACAAGTGCACGCCACCGCGGCGATCGACAATGGCGCGTGATCCAATCCCATCAGCCCGCGCGCGCTGGAAGACGACGCGTTGACGTTTCATCATTTCAGGCATAACTAACAGCTGGCGCTGCCGCAGAACATGGCTGGACGGGAAATGTCCGTGAGCTTACATCGTCCGACCGCACTCGCACAAGGGTACTTTGGTGCCTGGATTTCACTGGACACCGAAGGCGATGCGAAAATTACCGTAACCTTGTTGAGTTGGTACAAGACCAGTGGCGTAGCAACTCTTTCGCGAAGGGGGCAAATATACCTCACTCGTTTGCGGGGATATATATATATATATATATATATATATATATATATATATATATATATATATATATATATATATATATATATATATATTGTGTGTGTGTGTGTGTGTGTGTGTGTGTGTGTGTGTGTGTGTGTGTGTGTGTGTGTGTGTGTGTGTGTGTAGTGGGAGTAATAATTCAATGGGCCAGTTAGTCTTCGTGAAGGTATAGAGGAGACCCACGCTGAGGGAGGCGCTGCGGAGCGTGGCGCTGTCAGTCAATGTGGGGAGAAAACTGGTTACTCGAGTCTTGGCTCCTCCGCTGTCCCATTCAACCTGCTTGAAAACGCGTTGCTTTGCTCGCACGCTGCACGCGTTTTTGAGAGTCTCGCGTAACGCGCGGTTATGCTCTGTCCGTATTTAATAGGATCGCCGCAATTGAGGATTTTTTTTTTTTCGTGGCAGCGATTCGGTAAAAGGGCAGCGAAGCAAGTTGTAGCAGACGACGCCGTCCTCGTCAGAGCGAAGTGCGTTTCGCAAGTGAAAGACGACTCTGTTGACGACGTTAGAGGTGAATAAAACTTTCTGTACGTTCATAACTATATACCTGTTTTATTTGGTTTGCTGTGTGTAGTAGGCACTATGTTTGTTACTGTATGCATGGGTAAGGCCGCTTCTCGTGCTTTAGGTTAAGCGGTTCTTGCGCTGTGACTGCTATTAGTTGGGATACCTATATTTACTAGCACCCACCCAAGTTATCGTGCGCTATATACACAGCACTTCAAAAATAATTAGTCTGTTTGGGACTTCTTTCTGATCCACAAGGAAAATTGACATCTATCTCGCGTGTCTTTCCTTGCATTATCACCGTTCACATCGCGGGTACTTCGAGTTCACGAACAGCGTGCCTACCATCATGATGAGCGGCCAGCTTTCAGAGAAACTTTTTTGTGTCTGTCTAATCTGCAGGGGAAGAGCACATTGTTATAAAGGCATTTTATCTTGGTCACTATCGAAAATGCACCGTGTTGTTCGGGCTGCCCCTGCACACTCAGTAACAACTAGTTCACTGTATCTGCCAACGGACGTGCAGCAACGGCTAATGCATTTTTTTTCTTTTTTTTTCATAGTTGCCCAAGTTTTTGGCAACCACACACTTCCGTCGGCGCTGCGTAGATTTAAAAATATATAACAACGCATTACCAATACCACATGTGCACACAGCTTCAAGTACTACGTCCCCAACAATATCGAATAATAGTAGCAGCATAAAATATTTCTTCGCTATTTTTCAACAGTGCTCTAAAGACGGGCGTTGAAAATTTATACTTTTAAGATGGTGACGTGCATCTCCCAGTAACTCGATAGATTAGATGAACGGTGACGCAGGAATTAACACCCGTAATTTTGAATGCATTGTGCGCGTGCTAATTTTTATGAAAAAATTGTTTACATACTTTTTTCGGCGCACTTCTTTAATCCATTTCTTTCGTCTGCTTGTTCCGTACCATCTGTTTGTGAATTGGTGGAATTTCACTCGTAGAGTCGACTTCTTCGTGTTTGCATGGCTATTGCGCTTGTTGACGACGCAGCAATAGTTCCCCCTTTTTTGTTGGGGTGACATCGCGGAACAAGGGGCGTTTTACGTGCAGCGCGCGCTTCGCAAATGCGTGGAAGCCAAAGGGAGCGGAAGGGTCGGAAGACGCTACTGTTGTGCGCTTTTTCTGGCAGGGGAAAGGCAAGCGCTGGCGTCGCCGGGCAAACTTGAGCGGGTCGAGCGTTGTCAACAAGGATAAATATATTTATTTCCCAACAGTTTCGGGAGGGGTCCTCCCTGCATCAAGGGATGTGTATATATATATATATATATATATATATATAATATATATATATATATATATATATATATATATATATATATATATATATATATATATATATAATTCCTCGTGTCATTCACTGGAGCAAACCAAACAGAACCAAAAAAAGAAAAAAAAGAAGAAAAAAGAAACAGGGGGTAGGAGGAGAAAGGAAGAGGGGGCTAGGGCGGCTTCCGCGACGCGTCTTTCACGGAGGGACATTGTGGGTGAGCTTGGATGGCAGGCAATCACCTGCAGCAAGACGAGGGACTCCGGCAGGGAGAGTGCCTCATTCGGACCCTTCTGTGGTCAGTTAGAAAAAGGAAAGGAGAAACAGGTGCTTCGTTTTCACTGAAAGTATACTGATACATTTCATGTGTGGGGGAGGGGGGGGCAGATTTCGGGGCAAAGATGGTGAAAGCACCAAAGGCGGTTTGAAAAGTAAAGCCAGCATCTAGGGCGGGAAGGCACATGTTGTCAATATGACCGCGTGCGTGTCTACAGCCCTTTTGTGTTGAAATTGGCTGGTGCTGGTTGGGCTCTCCCACTTACAGATAATAAGACAAACATAAGTTAAACAGAATGGCAAAGAAAATATAAAGAAATGTGAACAGTGAAAATGGAACGAATAGTAACAAACATAATGGAATGGGTGATATTGTGCGAGAGATATGTGCACAAATCCAGAAACTCGGGGAAATGCAGACAGACAAGAAGTAACACAAAAATGAAATAAATATGGTAAAAGTGATAATAAAATAATAAAAAAAATAAAAGTCACACAACAAAGGTACATATACGAATGGTACATGGAAAAGTTTTTTCGGTTGGTTCATTCCTCCGATAACTATTGGGCACCTCTGTTGAGCATATCGAGGATTAATAATAGTAATAATAATATTTTTAAAAATAACATTTACAGTTAAAAATGATTTTTTTCAATTTAAAAGTTATTAAAAACATTCGAAAAATTAAAAAAAATGAAAACTCTGCCAGACTCGATTCCTGTCCCATCTCACCGCTGCACGACCTAAGGAACGGTAGGTTGCCGATGCTTTCATTGATACCGTGTGTTTGGAATTTGTGGATGAAGTATGCCTCCCTTTGTTCCCGTTCACGAGTCCCGCCTGACTGGAGGAGGGTGACTCGTACTTTCTCGAATGAGTGCCCTGGCAAGTTCGGATGCTTGGAAAAAGGCAGATCTGGCAGACTGCGTGCGTGGGCTCTGTGGTTGTTGAACCGTGGTCTGAATGCCGTGCCAGTCTGAC